AAGTAATTATTGAAAAAATTTAGTATAAAAATATCGAGAAAAAAAAATGGAAAGTATCTTTTAGATAAAGCTGAACTATAATGGAATAACTCATTGTCATAAAAAATACAGAGCAATGTTTCATTGCCATTGAAACCCCGTTTAAATTATACGGCATTATCTTTGATGGTTTCCATCTTTAAAGCATAGAATTCTCTGTTGAAAATGTATTGTTTTGTAAGAAAAAATTATTTCTCTTTATCTACAAATGACTGATAATACGAAAGCCCCTTGAGCTCATTTTGGTAGGTTAAAAAAATTAATTTTTCGCGTTATAACGCGTAACTTTCACGATATAACACGAAACTTTCGCGAATAAACGCGTAACTTTCGCGTTATAACGCGAAACTTTCGCGATATAACGCGTAACTTTCGCGATTTCGCGATATAACGCGAAAAGTTCGCGTTATGTTACTCAGGAACCCTGATCTTGACTGACAGATAAGAACATGAAAACAGACGGGAACTCTCAGCAACTCTCAGTGGCCTAATTTCATTGAAAATGATGCAAATAATATATTTCTAGAGTATAAAGAAATTGTAAACCTTTATGATGTTCAAAAGTCTACCTCTCTGAAACCATCCTTATTAATCTATACAAATATTTTTCACTTCAAATCCTATTTTTGTAAAAATTTTACTAGAATTTTAAAAACTACGCGGTGAAACTTATTCATTTCTTTTATTAAAACATAACCCAAGGAGTTATTTTAAAATTATTTGACAAAAGTTTGTTTGCATCATCTGTCCTTACGGTATATACGGCAGAGTTTGTACACTTTGGATTAATTGTCAATATTTGTCCGATATCGTATTTCTACAGTGAATCCAACGGAGACAAATGAAAATCTACTATCCAATTTTCACAATTCTGAGATCTTGTTCTTTATAAAATAAAATTATTTCAAATCCTCTAGAGAGTGCGTAAAAAAGACGCCGGAAAGGGGTGATTTTCCCCGAAATTCATAATCTTGATTATGATAATAGGTATTGAAGTTTAACTTTTGTAAAACTCGCATTATCTTTGAATTGTTTGAACAGTGCTGAGAAAGACCATCTATGACGGTAGAGATGGATTCAATAGGAAGGAAACTTAAAATTGTAGCTTGTGATAGTCCAAGTTTAAAATAGCCTTTTGCTTATCATTAATGAATAAACTTGATCACAAAATCAAAAGAAAGTTAAGACTTAAGCAAATGTCTTGGTTAAACAGCAAAAGTTACGCGTTTATTCGCGAAACTTTTGCGTTATTACGCGAAAGTTAGGCGTTATATCGCGAAAGTTTCGCGTTATTACGCGAAAGTTAGGCGTTATATCGCGAAAGTTTCGCGTTATAACGCGAAAGTTACGCGTTTATTCGCGAAAGTTTCGCGTTATAAGCGAAAAATTTATTTTTTTTAACCTACCAAAATGAGCTCAATGGGCTTTCGTATGATAAAATTGAAAATTCTAGTGAAAAAAAAAGAATTTAAAATGACTACCGTTTCCTGTGACCTGTCTACCATCAAAACGGCAGCTATACGTATAAATATGCGTATATGGAATGAAAAATTTTCATTGAATCAAAACTGGAGGCAAACACCCCCCCCCCTCCATCCCCCTCTCTCTCTTCCTATCATAACTTTTACACTTGAAAATGTATGTACTAATTAATGAAGCTGGTGGCCTAACCTCACTTTTTCTTGCAGAATAGTCAAATAAAGGTAATGTACATGTAGTAGTGTGTGTCTGTATGAATAAATAACTAAATTGGCACCGAAAGAAGTTAGACACCCCCTTCCTCAACGACAAATGATTTGGATGATAGAATTTGGGTTTTCACGTTAAGACAAATTTCCCCCCGTTGATTATTTTAATGCCCCTGTAATCGAAGATTCGGGGGTATATAGTTTTTTTGTCCTGTCCGTCTGTCTGTTTGTTCGCAAAAACTTTAACATTGCCTATTACTTTTGATTGGTTGCATCTATGGCTTGGATTTGTGGTTGGAACTCTTATTTCACATGTATATATTCACGGTCTGAGAACGAGTTTCTTCGGGTAACAACATTTTTAATCCTTGTATTTGAAAAACTTTGAACAAACTTAGCCAAAAGCTGTTAAGGAGGGGGGGGGGGGCATTAGTGTTTCACAAACACCCCCTTTTTTGGTTTCTCTAGTTCTTTCAGGTAAGTTGACTTTAACTTCTCTGGCTGTCCCCTTTCAAAAAAGATGCTACGTCCCTGATTAACTATCATTAATACTGAATCCATATTTTTTTTCGAAATGGCCAAATAATCATCCTCGTTTTTGAAATACAATACAGTGTCTTTGCATTAGGAATACATCAGCATGATCAGTACCGTGATCTTTTAACTTATTTTCATAATAGACTACTAAAAGAGTTTACATTCAGAAAACTTCCGAATACATTTTCTATATAATTAGGTATAAAATATGTGAGATATTTTTAAATAACTTTTTTTTAATTATAAGCAGCGTTAGACTCAAGACTGGCCTTGCCGGGTGACTGGAAATTCCAGAAGCCCCCCGTTTTTTGGAGAATACCCATACAGAAGGGTAGAAGCCCCAATAAAGTGGTAGAAGCCCGATAAAATTGAATCATTTAGGGTACATAAAACCCTAAGGTGATGTTTAAATGAATGATATTGATATCCGTAAACTTTTATAGCCAATCTTACCTCAGAGTCGATAGAAATCGGGCGGCATTACTAGTTTACCGTACACCACGCCCGATCTAATTTCGAAGCGAGATGCTGTTTATCATCGTATAGATAAAGTTAAAAAAATTCAATTTAATTTTTAAATGTTTTTTATACATGATAAATATAAAATATTATATAATACATGATTTTTTAAAAATATAAGGACGTTAGCCATTAAGATAATATGAATTTGTGTATTGATTATTCATATTATCCCAATGTTACCAGCTCTCAGCCACGTGGAGGCCTCCTCTTTTGTAGAGCCATAATTTGATTTTGTTGTTGTTGAGATTTTAGAGAAATTCTGAATTTAGAGATAAAAACATATCCAAAAGCTCCAAGCAACAATAATTATAAAAAATAGTAATGATAATTAATTCATTAATAATTAATTTTATGTTTCAAAGAGAACAAAAAAAAATGAAATAAATTTCAAAATATGAAAATACTGAATTTATTTGAGATTTTAGACAAATTATAATTTATTTGAGATTTTAGACAAATTATGAATTTAGAGATATAAAATTAAGAGCTTCGAAGCAACAAAAATAATTAAAAATGAAAATAATAATTACTAAAATGTTAAAAGAGAACAAAAAATAAATCAATGCCAAAATATGAAAACACTGAAACCTGGAAAGAAATTTATTAATATCATTTTCAAATATAAAGTTTCAAATACACTGTATATAGATAGTTTATTTCAAAGTGACCTTTTTATGTTCTTTTCTAGAAATAAATCAGATGTTTTAAATATAAATCATCAGTTGTTTACATTTTTAATTGACTTTAAATTAAAACAAATATGAATTAAAATTTTTAAAAAAGTAAAGTAAAAAAAATTACACACTACAAAATAAAGTTTTTATTGAAATTTAACTATGAAAAAAATAGACTGGTTGAAACTGAAAATCTTTTATCATCTCCAAGCATAGGTATTTTATGTAATTTTACATTTCATTGCCAGTTGAATCTGTCGACTAAAAATTTCCATTGCCTCTCTGTTCAAACTAATCCCATCTTCACGCCAAATGTTTTTAGTTTTCTTAAAATCATTAAACCCCTACATCTCCAAAATATCACATTCTGAGAATTTCCATATTTCCTTCGTAATGTGTTATTTATGTCAAAAACCGTAGAATTGTACTTTCCTGGATCCATGGTTCCACAAATCATTTGCCTAAACAGACTTCCAATAAATATTTTTTGAACCGAATCATTTCTTAACAGATTTTCAATAAGGTTTTGGATTCCTAACACTATTTCTGACACAGAAGATGAATTTATATCCTTTCTCCCACTTGTAGAAACACTTTTGTTGGACAGAATTCAACTGCTCTTCTGAAAGATTGACTATAAATTAAGCTTTTTGTTGTAATATCTATGTCACTAAAAAATTGAACGCAATAATTATTTGGCAACTTAAAATTCACAGAACCATTTGCTACACTATTTCCTATTTCTACACATGATTTTGACCAATAACCGCAATTCGTTCTGAATAACTAATAGACTGAACCGGAGACTGAGGAGATGTAGGGGTTTCTACAGAGGAAGCTGTTGTAGGACCTATAGGGAGAGTAATTAAGGAGCTGCTGAAGGACTCCGGATGAGTACAGGATGGCTTGTAGCTGGTGTAATTGACGGAGCTGAAGCAGGAGGAATTGATGAAGCTGCAGTAGGGATATGTGCTGGAATTGACGGAGCTGATGCAGTACCTTGGACGGTTACAGGTGCATTGTAATAGGGGAAATAGTTGCGGGAGCTGCTGGAGGACTTGGTATGGGTACAGGGTGAGGAATTGATGAAGCTGTTGTTGGGATAGGTGCTGGAACTGTAGGGGAACTTACTGATGGAGCACTGGTTGCATTGGCCATTTTATGCCTAAACTGCATTAGGAGTTTACCTTGAATATTTTTGCCTTTGCCATTCCAACCAGTGCCCCAATATGAGTCCGCAACATTATGTATCAGTACCCTTTTGTTTGTGCTGAGAAGGTAATTTTTGAACTCAGCACATTGGTTGAATTTAATAGCCAAAACTTTTAGCATAATTTTGTTTTTGATTGAATGCCAATGGGAGGTGGTATTTACAAGTTTTGAAATTTGTTTACTTATTTTTGCTGTCGGAGCGTTTTGAATTTGGTTTGCTAAATAGGGGTCAGAGTGCTCGACAGCTTTTAAGTACTGATACAAATGTTCCGAACTCTGAAATGTAAGACCCTGGAACATTAGAACACATGGATAGAAGTTTGAGAGGATGTGGTGCTCTCCCTTGAAGTATATGGGAGAGTTGGGAGTTGGATTTGGAACAGGAGAGGAGCTTGCAGTTGGATGTTTAATAGATGCTGTGACAGGAGGAGGAGATGCTGAGTGAGGAGGAGGAGATGTGGAGCTAGGAGGAGGAGAGAGGGAGATGCAGTGCGAGGAGGAGGAGAGGGAGGAGATGCAGTGCGAGGAGGAGTGGGAGGAGATGCTATCAAAGGACCTTTCAGGAAAATTTCTAAAATATTTCAAAAAAATTCAACCAAATCTTAAAGAAAAAGTCAACAACCCCATCAGGCATGACATTGTTGATAAACCGTGGACAAATAATAATTCTGAGTCATTAAATCATGTCTTAAAACAAGCAATTGATTGGAAATCAAAACCACTCCTTGATTTGGTTAATATACTGACAACACTTATAGAATCACAATTTAAAGACCTTAGAAAATCACTTGTTGGGGTAGGACAATTAAAACTAATAGACACACATGATCATTTCAGAGTTTCAAAATCAGTGTGGGTGACCAAAACGACAGACGAACGAGATAGGTTGTACAAAAGATTCAAACTTTTTATTCCGCCAGATAAAACGACACTCACATCAACTGACGGTACTACCACTATAGTTAGACCACGTACCTTAGGTAAAAAGATTGGACAACAAAAACGTAAAAAAGTGGACAGGACTACAACTTTCAAAAAATCTAAAATACAGTAGATCAGTAGATCAAAGGCCAATAATCAGTCAGTTTTAAACCAGGAACCCAAAAATGTTTTTAAAATTGTATAATTATTATTTTTCTAGCATAGGGTTAGTATCAGGCAGTATTCCTCCCCCGCCAGACGGGTGCAGACCAGTGAATACTGTTTGGTGTTGTGTTAGGTTAGAACTTAGCATAGGGTTAGTATCAGGCAGTATTCCTCCCCCGCCAGACGGGTGCTGACCAGTGAATACTGTTTGGTTTTGTGTTAGGTTAGGTTAGGTTAGGTTAGGAACATATTTTTTTTTTAATGTTGCTAATTGAACTATAAATTCCTTTTTATGAATTTTTTTATAATTATTAATTTATTGTCAATTACTTTCATTTGGCTGTAATATGTTTTTACATGAACAAAAGATTGACTAGGAATAATGATAAAGTCTGGGTTTTTTTTAAAGATTTTTATTTTCTTTTTATCTTTCGGTCATCTTTCGGTCCTTTGGTTTTAATATTTTTCTGTTTCAAAATTCAAATCATGGCTCTACAATTAAGGAGGCCTCCACGTGGCTAGAGCTGGGAACATAAGGAAACTATGAATATTATTCAGGTATTACTAATTTAAAAGGTCTTTATTAATTTATCATTATTATTGGTATCAAAATTATCCAAAAATTCATATTTTCCTTATGTGTGTGCTAACGTACTTAAAATGAAATTTGTATTTAAAACATATTTCAAGTTCATATCACCAGTATTTAAAAAGAAGATCATATTACAAAATCATTTATTTTACAATTCAATAATGAAAGTCAAGAACAATTGAACATAGTTAATGATCAGTGTATATACACATGCCCTGCCAGAGGGGGGTTGGTCAGACTAGCTGAGAACAGGTCTTTGAACAAAAGGAGTTTACTGTCAACTTGACCAAGTGTCAACAGCTGTGTATGTACACACACACAGGGGTGCCTCTCTATCCCAGTACAAAACAACACAGCTAGCTGAAGTGTAAATAATATTCTCACCATATTCTCATAATACCCACTTTACAATTGTTTGCATATGCAATTATGCACATTTAATTAATTTTTATGAAACTTTTTTATTTCATTAACCTGGATTCTAATAATTTCATTCTAATGGATACATATTGCTTTCTAATATCAATGAATATAATTTTTTCTATTACATGCACACAAAAAATTAATTTAAAAAATACCTCCCCAAATAAAACAGAACCAAAAAAAAAAAAAAAATACAGCAAATCTAAGTAACTGGAAAATAATAATGAATGCATGAATACTGAATTTCAAATTTAAATAAACATAGAAAGAAAAAAAATAAATACCTTAGATATTAAATAAATTAACAACTTGATTAATTACTTAATTTACTTAGTTATATATTATAAATGATTGGAATTTAAACTAAGGAACTTTATTAATTGATTAATTGACTAGTTAAATTAATTTAAAAAAAAAAAAAAACACACAAAACAACAATCAATTAGTATTTTCACTGTAATGTATGTCAACAGGTTACATCTCAATGTTTTTATAACTATTTTACAGTACACTTCAGCTATACAAATATTTTCATATTTTCAATAATGAGTTTTGATATAAAATTCTTTTTATTAGGTACAAACCAGTGTGGATAAAAGTATTCAAGTAGACAATGAAATATGTTCATAATTTATACTTTATTTCATTTAGGAAATATGTAAATATTTAATGCTTCCTTTATATTCTTAACTTTCCTTTCATATATTTTTTTTTTTTTTGAAAATAAAAATCATTTATTATATTATTCACTTTTGATCAAGATTACGCTAATGATTTACTTGATTTACTCGAAACGACTTCCGCGATCGCGAGTTTAGATCGGGCGTGGTGTACAGTATATGAAGAAAAGAAATGCCGCCCGATTTCTATCGACTCTGAGGTAAGATTGGCTATAAAAGTTTACGGATATCAATATCATTCATTTAAACATCACCTTAGGGTTTTATGTACCCTAAATGATTCAATTTTATCGGGCTTCTACCACTTTATTGGGGCTTCTACCCTTCTGTGTATGGGTATTCTCCAAAAAACGGGGGGCTTCTGGAATTTTCCAGTTACCTGGCCTTGCCTATCTGGTGGTAATCTAAATAAACATCGGGATCGGCATTTTAATTTTTCTGGTTCCCTTGAAAACAACGGAACCAGCTAAACCGGATGTAGAATTAATGATAACAGACATGGAAAAGAATTTTTGTTTTAAATTCATAGGTTTGTAGAATTGATTGCGGAGCAGATGGCCCATAACCCGCCATTAGATTCGGGTATTCTCCGAAGAAACCCCCAGGACGATTTTGAGCTTATTCAGCGGGTCGGGAGTGGCACCTATGGAGATGTTTACAAGGTGATGCCCCTCAACTGTCAGATTCTGACATCAGTATCATTTGTCTGGTTAGAGATAATTCACGTTATAATAACATAAAAGGATCGCCTTTCCATATTTCACGAAAATATCCGTAATCAGTATTTACTGGTTAGTTATATCTTGTCCCTCGCGAAATTTACCAGGGACCTATATTATACTGTTATAGTTTATAGGTCCCTGGTTATTACATATTTTTGGTATTAAAATACAAGATATTGGTATAAGAAAAGGATATACACCAGTATACTATAATCTTTTTGAAGATCAGCTAAAGGAGATTAAATGCATTGCTTAAATAATCTGGTTTCAGAAATGTATCTTCATAATTATGTTCTTAACTATAGTGTTTTTAAATTGCTTCTTTGGACAAAATGTCCCAACACAGCGATGGGGCAATTTAGCAGTGCCAGAAACCAGAATGGAGTAGATCTGCTGAATAATATTTATTTTAAGAACTAAATGTATTCCATCTTTAAAATCCATAAAAAAGTTTCAGTAATATTAAAGATTGCTATACTTCAGTGACACTTCATTTTCATGAGATAGCTTTTTAGTGTTTTTTTTTTTTTATAAGTAAAAAAAAATTCATGGAATGTGGTTTTTGTTGTTTACAATCCAAAATAGTAAAAATAATGCTCATATTGAAATTTCAGAATGAAATTTCAAGTAGCCGGTCGACAAGGACTGCCAGCCAGAATTACTAAATTAGTAACATGGAATATGAAATATTTAAAGTGCAATGATGATGATAATGCGAATATTAACTATGAAACACATTTCATAGATGATAAAATAAATATTCTTTCATTGTTAAATGTTAATTATTTATTTCATCAAAACCACTCTTCCACTTAAATATGATAATAAAGTTCTTGCAAAAAATGACACATAGTAGATTATTTTAAATTAATATTCTTTTCTTTTGTCTTCCAATGAGAAAATGAATTCAAATAAAATGTTAATGTAATTTTTCTGAAAGACACTGCTGCATTCAGCCAATGGACTATTTAATAAAATTTGCCAGGGGTCTCATAGCAATTTGTTGACTTGGGACCCCTGGCATACAGAGGATGTGGTATTATATGCTTCTTGTTAATTTGCTGTAGATACCAGTACATGGGGAATCTATATTTAAATAGGGATTCAGGGATTGCATTAAGATGTTACTTAACTTTAAATTTCGTTGAAATAACATTCTTTTTATAGGAATTCTATAGTAACAGTTACTATAACTATAAAGATACTACAATGTACTACTATAGTTATTATAGTACAGTGTACATACACTTTGCCGCAAGTTGAATTGTAACTGGATTTAGAGCTGTGTTTTAGTTGCCTTAGCCCTGTGTTTTGCTTCCTATCACCCAAATAGACTTCTATCTTCTATGTTTGAGAAAAGAATAAGGTGCACAGTTTAATTTTAAAACATTTTTGATGAAATGAATTAATTAAAAAAATAATAATAAACCATAAAGTTGTGTACCTGTATAATTTTGACTGTCATATTACATTTCAATTATTGGGTCTTTGTGTTAAAGCTAAATTGGACCATAGATTAATTTTTAGAAATATATATTAAATTTTGAACAATAGCCATAATTTAAGACATAAATCAACAGAAAAATATGTTTATATACATATACGTTGTACTGGCTTGCACTCTAATGGCAAAGAACTTTAAATACTCTTAAAATGTTTGCAGTTTAAATACCATGGAATAAATCATTTTTATCAAATGTAAATACATAGCAAGAACATCTGCAAAAAAAGAATTGCTTTAAAAAAATAGTCTGTGCATATTCAAACCATTACATGTATCATAATAAACAAAGAAATCTGAGAGCTGAAATTTAATATTCACACAGACTGAAAGTTATATGATGGGGAGATAATCATAGTAATCAATGAAATTATAACAGGATTGGACTGGCACGAAAAGGTTCAATCTGTAGTCCATGTTTGTGAATTCTTTAGTTTTTTGTGGAAACTTAACTTGGTTGTCTGTGTCATTTTCTGATTTTCTGATCACAAAATATGGAAAATGTTAACATTGAAAGCAAAATTCTGGTATTAATTTTGGTACTGTATTTCATTTTATTTTAAAACAAGGAAACACTCAGTTGCATCATTTTGTAAATGTGTGTTTCAGCAGAAATTTCCTGTCATTGACTTTTGTACACATTGAATTACTTTCAAAGTATGATGATGTAGAATCTCAACTGAAAATGATATTCATTAAAAATATTTAAGTCTTAAGATTTTAGAAGAGGTGTTTTACTTTTAGTAGCCAAGTACTTAATACGGTGGTAAAGATCAGCACCATTTTACTATAGATTTATTATGATTATATAAAAGTTTATTCCTTTGGCAAGCTCTTATTTAAGGGATATAGATTTTTTCTACCTACGTTACTAAATCTATTTTAAACTAGGTATTCTTTATGTTTTTTTTGGGGGGGGGAACACAAAGTCATGTTTATTGAAAAAAAATTTTAGAAACTGATATTAATTTTTTTTTTTTTTTGGCAAGAAATTTCAGTACTGGGGAGATGGCGGCCATCATAAGGATATATTAAACTGGAGCCAGGTAAACAGAAGTATACAAGATAAAACAATATCTACAGCTTATAGGATTTCCTCTGTTATTGGAGTTATGAATTTTGAAAGATCCTTAGAAGTTAGTGGAATTTTTTGTGTGAAGTGTTTCTGTAATTACTCATAACTTTGTATTGTAGGAGATGACTATTGCAATCATACAGCAGGAAATCGTCATGATGAAGGACTGCAAACATGATATTGTAGCTTATTTTGGATAGATACTTGAGGTAGATTTATTTATAAAGTAGTGTATTTATCAGTTTTTCTGAATTGATACTTAATGGACCTCTACAAAAACTATGAATTACAAATTTTTCTAACATAATTAAATTTGGATTTTGAACATAAAATAAGTCATGTAGTTATTAAACTAATAATGATATAGTGAATGATCATAATGATTTTTGTTTATTAATCTTTATCAAGTCTTAGAGTGAAATTTGTTCAAGGTTTATTATTATGCAAAAGGTGTAATGGTACATATTAGAATGGGGAGCTTGTCTGTGCTGATGAATTTGGAAGATAGTGCAAGTACAGTGTTTTTCAGCTTCATAATAGTGGGTTGTTGTTTTTCTGTATAGAAGAGATAAATTATGGATTGCTATTGACAACTATGGAGGTGGCTCATAACATTTACCACAGTAAGTTAGCACTTTTATTCATCACTCTAAGTTAGCACTTTTTCTATTTACCACAGTAATTTGCAACTTTTCTCTTTTTGCCACAATGAGTTATTATGTTCCCCAAACGGAGTTTGGGAACATATTGTTTTTACTCTGTTTCTTATTAAGGTCTTCCGTCTCCAACGGAAGACCTTCTTGTTATTCTTCGGTTTCTTTTTCCCTATTATTATTATTATTATTATTATTATTATTATTATTCTTACGGATTTTGTGCACGCGATTTCTCGTAAACTACTGGACCGATTCTCATGAAACTTTAACATCTGATAGGTACTGATCTGAACCTTATTGGAAATTTTTTTCGTAGATGACGTCACTTCCGGTCGTGAGATATGGACAATTTTCTGATTTTAAAATGCAATTTTGTCTTGATTTAGTAGCGAAAACTGCTTTAGATATGAACTGAAGATTAATTGGAGATGATAGTTCATGACTTATAGCGTTGCAGAATCGCCTTTTCGTGCGTCGTCAGTACTTCCGGTCGAAACCGGAAGCGAATTTAAAAAACGTAATTTTTCAACTTTTCTTTTTTAATATTTTTGTTTTAGAATTGAATAGAGACCCTTTTGCAGAAGCCAAATATGTAATTTGTTTGAAAATCGAAAAAGCCAATCTCGAGATATTTGCATTTGAAAACGCGAAGCGGCGATCCCGATGGCCGAATGGTTAGCGCGTTGGATTGTCACGCGGGCGACCCGGGTTCGATCCCCCGTGTGTCCAAAAAATTTTATCACTTTTTCTGCTCGATTTTTCGATTTTTATTAATTTTAGACCATTTGCAACAACATATTTTAAACTTTTAACTATATCTTACGTAATAAGGGGTCACAAGGGGCCAGAATGCTAAATCTTTGACGCTTCATATCTTGAAAAGAGGGAATATTTTGATAAGCATTATTGAACAAAAGATGGTCAGAATAATATTCTAAACAATATGCATACTTTGAATTTTTGTAAAATGGCCCCATTAAGGACTTGTAGGGATGGCCCCTTAATATTTCCATTCATTATATCTATCAAACGAAAAGAAATCTGTGATTAGGTGTTGAACAAAAAGTCTTTGAAATCACAAGACCTTTCATTTGATATCAAGAAAAAGGGGCTGACCCCTGAAATAAGGGGCTCAGAGGGGCTAAAAGTCTTTCATCTTTAACTCTTAAATGATCAATATTTTGTGATACATTATAGAAGCAAAGGTATTCATCTTAACAATTTGCAACAATATATGATACAATTAGGACCATATGTTACGTAATTAGGGGTCACAAGGGGCCAGAATTTCAAATCTTTGACACTTTCTATCTCAAAAATGGGGAATATTTTGATAAGCAATAATGAACAAAAGATGGTCAGAATAATATTCTTAACAATATGCATACTTTGAATTTTTGAAAAATAGCCCCATTAAGGACTTGTAGGTGTGGCCCCTAAATATTTCCATTCAACATATCTCCACAACGAAAAGAAATCTCTGAATAAGTGTTGAACAAAAAATCTTCAAAATCACAAGACCTTTCATTTAGTTACAAGAAAAAGGGGCTGGTCCCTCAAATTAGGGGTTCAAGGGGCCAAAATCTTTCATTTTTAACTCTTTATTGATTAATATTTTGTAATACATTGCAGAAGCAAAAGTATTCATCTTAACGATTTGCAACAATATATGATACAACTTGGATCATGTGTTACGTAATTAGGGGTCACAAGGGGCCAGGATATCAGATCTTTGACGCTTTATATCTCAAAAAGGTGGAATATTTTGATAAGCAATATTGAACAAAAGTTGGTCAGAATAATGTTCTCAACAATATGCATACTTTGAATTTTTGTAAAATGACCCCATTAAGGATTTGTAGGGGTGGCCCCTAAATATTTATATGAATCATATCTCCACAATAAAAAGAAATCTCTGAATAGGTGTTGAACAAAAAGTCTTTGAAATCACAAGACCTTTCATTTGATATCAAGAAAAAGGGGCTGACCCCTCAAATTAGGGGCTCAGAGGGGCCAAAAGTCCTTCATCTTTAACTCCTAAATGATCAATATTTTGTGATATATTAAAGAAGCAAAGGTATTCATCTTAACAATATGCAACAATATATGATAGAATTTGGATCATATTTACGTAATTAGGGGTCACAAAGGGCCAGAATGCTAAAGATTTGAGGATTCATATCTTGAAAATGGGGAATATTTTGATAAGCAATATTGAACAAAAGATGGTCAGAATAATATTCTAAACAATATGCATTCTTTGAATTTTTGAAAAATGGCCCCATTAAGGACTTGTAGGGGTGGCCCCTAAATATCAATATGAAGCATATCTCCACAACGAAAAGAAATCTCTGAATAGGTGTTGAACAAAAAGTCTTTGAAATTACAAGACCTTTTATTTGATATCAAGAAAAAGGGGCTGACACCTTAAAATAGGGGCTTAAAGGGGCCAAAAGTCTTGCATCTGTACCTCTTTAATGATCAATATTTTGTGATACATTACAGAAGCAAAGATATACATCTTAACGACTTGCAACAATATAATATAAAAGTTTGGCCATATCTTACGTAATAAGGGGTCGCAATGCGGCCAAAATGCTAATTTTTGTCATGCTTTACTCTTGAAAGGAGGGGGATATTTTTATAAGCAATATTGAACAAAAGATGTTCAGAAAATCGTGATAAAAATGAGAAACTTAAAATTCATTGAAGAAAAACTTAATGTCATTCTCTTTTAACGAATATCTCAGTCAAAATCACATCTCATCTTATCGAGAAATTCAACGGAAGACCTACTCGTTGCTCGCAACGAGATCTCATCTAGTTATTATTAAGGTCTTCCGTCTTCACGGAAGACCTTATAGTGATTCTACTGTTTCTTATTATTCTTATTATTATTATTATTTTTTTTGACAATATTTTGTGCAGGCGATTTCTCGAAAACTATTGAGCGGTTTTTCATGAAACTTTCACAAAAAATGTGTCATTATATGAAGTTGTTACATCCGAAGAGAAATTTGGAAAATTCGCTTCTGGTGCCAAGTTATGGACAATTTCCTGATTTTAAAATGCGATTTTGTCGCGCACTTTTATCGAAAATGGCTTAGTATATGATATGGAGACTTATTGAAGATGATAGATCATGACTTTCTGGTTTGCAGAATCACCTTTTCGTGCGTCGTCAGTACTTCCGGTCGTTACGAGATGCAAATTTTAAAAAATCGTATTTTGTAACTTTTTTGTTTTTCAGTATTTTTCATTTATTTTTGGTATGTTAATAGAAACCCTCCTTATAATGCTTACTATATAATTTGTATAAATATTGATAAATCGAAACTCTAGATATTAGCATTCGAAAATCTGAAGCGGGTCCAAAATGGCGGCTGTCTCTGTCAACGCCGACATTTCGCAATAGGGGTTTACGGGGGCAGCCGAGCGTTTGCTTTTACGAAAGTAACATAAGAATAAATGAAATGTAAAGGAATACTTGGATTTTCACGTCGTAGTTTCGTTGCGGTTCTGTGTCAAACTAACGTCTTCTATAATTGGTTTTGGCTGGTTTTCAAAGTAGAAAAAGAAAAGACTAAATGTGCAAATGAAATTCGATACCTAATATCTTTTGTGCATCACGGAAAAACAGATCTTAAATCATACTTAAAAATAATACTTTCTTAAAAAAGAATATCAATTAATATTGTCAGTATAAATCGTAACCACTGTTTTTCCTATGCACACTTGTGTCATATTAAACTAATGAATAAGACAAAAATAAGAAAAAGATTTTTTAAAGATCGCTTCATGGAGTTTATTTTAGCTTTCTTGTCTCAAAGACCTGATTCAAGTTATTCAGCAAAAATGATATCTGATTCCTTGACCATCGAAGGGCGAGCCATGTTTTTCGGCGAAACGTTTCAACCTTTTTCGATTAACTAATCGGGATAGTTCACTTGGGGGATAAACAGGAAATTGAAAAAAAAAATCATAACCGTTTCACCGCTTTAGTGTTACATGCATATATACAATATGGAATTTTTAAAATGTGTTAAACATACTTTCTAAATCTCGAATCTTAGGCTATAAGAACGTTCTTTTTTAATTTCATTGAAGCTATCACACCTATTTAATAGAACATTCTAAAGAAAAAGCGCGAAGATTAACTCGTGGCATTTGGCGCTAAATTTTGAATAGTGACCTGCCTTTCATAATTTTAAGAGAGAAGCATATTCGTTAATATATACAAGCAGATTTAGAGTAGAGGTTCCGATAGCGTAATATTTAGTGCGTTGGAAATTCATGCTAGCGACTTGGGTTCAATCCCCCTTGTGTGCAAATCTTTTTTTTTTTACTTTTTCAGCTCGATTTTACGTCTTCTTTCCGGAATCGGACGGAAGACCTCTCGTTGCTCGCAACGAGTTTCTCATCTAGTTATTATTATTATTATTATTTTTCTTATTTCTTCTCCTGTACTTTTTTTGTCCGCGAGTGTTCTCAGAAACTGTTCACCCAACTGAGCTAAAACCTTTTTAGGGTTAATAGGTGTGTAGTGTAGGTGTGCGGAACGAAGGTCATTTTGCGCGCATACGCACGCACGTGCGTGCGCGTGAAATGAGTGAATTGACTGATATACTTAAAATAGCTATTACTTTTACATTTTTTGATGAAATGATTTGAAACTCATTATATAAAGATATATTAATACTATTGATAATGTGACACTGTCAAATTAGCACGAACTCACGCGCATGCACGTGCGCTTCGCTCTGATTGGCTGAAACAAAAACCTCAATATCTTTTCTGTTTTTTGAGGAAATGCTATGAAATTTAAAATATTGGTTTACTTTAGTATGTCCTACAATATGATATATAACAATTGTCATGTAAACACGCGCATGCACGTGCACTGCAATCTGATCGGCTTAAACTTAAAATGGCTATAACCCCCTTGTTTTTCAACCAAACAGTATGGGATTTAGAACGTAGACAGACATAAGAGACTCCTACAAGGAGGTATGGTAGTCATGTACATGCATGCACGTGCATGCTCGTGTGCTTTGCTGTGATTGGCTGAAACAAAAATCGCAATATCTTTTTTAATTTTTGAAGAAATGCTTTGAAATTTTAAACATAGTCATGCATTAGGATATCCTACAATATGATATATAACAGTTGTCGTGAAAACATGCGCATGCACGTGCGCTGCAATCTGATTGGCTTAAACTTAGTATGGCTATAATGCCCTTGTTTTCCAACAAATTAGGATGGGATTTAGACCATTGACAGACATATTGGACTCCTACAGGAAAGTTTGGTCATCATGCACATGCATGCACACGCATGCACGTGTATTTCGCTCTGATTGGATGAAACAAAAATCTCAATATCTTTTCTGTTTTTTTGACGAAATGCTATGAAATTTAAAACATAGGCATACTTTAGGATGTCCTACAATAGGTTATATAAGAATTGTCCTGAAAACACCCGCATGCACGTGCGCTGCAATCTGATTGGCTGAAACTTTAAATGGCTATATCTCCTTTGTTTTTTGACGAAATGCTTTGAAATTTAAAACATAGTCACACATTAGGATATCCTGCAATATGATATACAAAAAATTTCAAGAAATCACGCGCATGCACGTGTGCTGCAATCTGATTGGCTGACACATTAAATGACTATATCGCCTTTGTTTTTTGACGAAATGCTTTGAAATTTAAAACATAATCATACATTAGGATGTCCTGCAATATGATATACAAAAAATTTCAAGAAATTACGCGCATGCACGTGTTCTGCGATCTGATTGGCTGATACTTTAAATAACTATATCTCCTTTGTTTTTTTACGAAATGCTTTGAAATTTAAAACATAGTCATTCGTTAGGATATCCTACAATGCGATAAAGAAAAAAAAATCATGAAATCACGCGCATTCACGTGTGCTGCAATCTGATTGGCTGAAACTAGAAATGGCTATAACTCCCTTGTTTTTCAACCAAACAGGATGGGATTCAGAACATAGATAAATATTAGGGACTTCTACAAGAAGGTAGGGTCATCATGCACGTGCACGCACGTGCGTGCATTTGGAATGAGTGAAATTAGAAATACACTTGAATGAGTGATTTTTAATACTTTTGGACTGAGTGTTTTCATATATAGTATATTACAGGGAATATGGCACTAAAAGGGAGTTGGGGAGCGTTTGGGGAACATCTGTAACGGTTCCCGTTACAATTAGCACTAGTTACTTTTGTTTTGATTAAAGTAGTTTTGTATCTCCAATCATATATATCACACACACAGAGCTTAATTAATAACGAACTTTCTTCTCAATCTTGCTGGTTAAAAGATTCATATTGATAAATTATTTCAAAGAAAGGGGGGATGGATTACCAATTACAGATGTATTGGTAATTCTTGTTAGTATCCTCTCTCATAAATGGAATGAAAATAAAGTCAGACATAAGTTTTGGTGTTGTTAAAGCCTCAGTACAGAATATTTGAAACTTGCACTAATTCAGTAATTGTCAAATAGTTTCACATATATCTATGCATCTGCCCTCACGTACATGGACCTTGGTTCACCCAGATTAATTCTTTTTTCAGTAACGGGGCCTTTGGCAGAGCCACAGATTGCTTTTATTTGTCGAGAAACATTAAAAGGTTTAATGTATCTACACAACAGAGGGAAAATGCATCGTGACATTAAGGTAAAATTTTTACTTGTGTAATCAGGTCAAATTACAGGTAACAAAATCTCAATAGGTATACATGACTTCCTGTTTGAATGTTTGTGGACCAAGAACTTGATAAACTTTATTATTCAGAAAAATTACATTTAAAGTCACGTACACCCCCTTTTTAAAGGAATAAATGAAGGAAATATTGATTGATTGTGTTTTGCTGACAAATAGCGGTAGTATGAACCAAGGTAGATACCCCTTTACCTTTTTATATTATTATGTATCTTGCACTGTGACCCATTTAAGTACAATACCAGCAATCATTTAGAACACTGCTGATTTTTCTGATTCAAAAAATAACTGTTTGAAAATTGCTATTGCTTTGCAAGCCCATTGGAGAAAATTAAATGTGAGTTGCATGTGGGAGTTAATCACAAAATGTCAGACCAGGAGCAAAGCTAGCTAAACACACCATAATATATAGTCATAAGTTTTAAATTGAAAAAAAACTATGTTGATTTCTATTGAATAGAAATACCAGGTAGAGTGCTAGAAGTAATCATTGTTTCAGTATAATTGATTATAATTGAGGAATTAACTTAACTTTAGATTATTCCTTTTTAACAGAACTATTACTGTATTTTTTCACCCATCTATAAGAAATTTGTTTTGTTTTTTAGGGTGCTAATATTTTGTTAACAGATGAAGGGGACATAAAATTAGGTTTGTGTGCTGACATAATGACAAGATCACGAAGATACATGCATAAGAAGAGTCATTTAATTTTGAAATTTTTGTCAAAAAAAAAAAAGATTGACTCTCATTAGATTTATAATGCATTAATTAAAGGTTATTTTATTTGTAGCTGACTTTGGTGTTTCTGCACAAATAACTCAAACTATGTGCAAGAGGAAATCATTTATTGGGACCCCATACTGGTAAGATTATTGTAGTCTGTCAAGAAGTACAAATTTACTAATGATTATTGATTGATTAAAAACCCATTCATTATAGGGAAAAGGAAGGGAAATTCATCAGTTTTATTGTTACTGAGGGTAGGATAGAATTATTCTAACAGAAGGAATCCATCAGCAATATGAAGATTTGTTCTGCATGATAACAAAAGAAAGGAAGATAAGTCTGAAGCAAAGCCAAAGAGGTAGAGCCACTTTGGGCGTTATTTGGCCCTGCGAATTTCGGAAAATTCAAAACCGCTCACTTTAGGTTGCAAATGCAGTATTTATCACTTGGACTGTTGGTGACCACGTATCTATTAATTGTGACGTCATTTCACATCTAGTCAATGCATTATGACGTCATAAAATGCGTCATTTTCCTCATATCCTGTAAATTCCTTTGAAAATGACCTAAAGTAGAAGCGTTTTTTCAATATTTCATATAGAGCACAACCTCTGATCCAAAATATGCTAATACATAATGAAAGGCCTATCTTTGAAGATCAAAAAACATGTTTTATTTTTTGGATCGTGGGCTGTGCTCATATTTTAATTCTTTGCTGAAGGTAGTTAAAAACGCATATTTTCTGCAAATTTAAAGAACATTGCAATTTCTCAAAGCCTGTTTTTAAATATTTTGATTCTCAAAACGAAATTTTATTATAGAATATGAAAGCACCAAGTGTCTACTTTATTTTGATATATGAAAATGGAAAGAGGGTGATAGTTAATTAATTGATATAAGTACAGGGCGTTTTTATGCATAAGATGGCTCTTGCTCTTTAATATACTTGTTAACTTATCCAGGTTATCAGTGAATTTATTTAAGTAATATAGTAATCTCTGGAAAAATTAGGATGGATTTACAGAGTTATGTCCCTTGTTCTACAGTAAGTCATGCCAAAATCATGCTTTCTCTTCAGTAGATTTTCCCCAACTCTTTACTCAATATTATTAGTCACATTATAGTTTCTGTTGCAATTAGTTTGAGGTTGAGCTAAAATCTCTGCTAGATTGTGAAGACTAAGTACCGGGTATGTACAGTGTGATGTTGCATCTCACTTGTCTTTAAAAATCAACAAAGGACATCAAAAGATCCAAAGGGCAGTCATCTTGAGGAAATGTACTGAATCAAACTGCAAGTGACCCTGCACCACAAAATCATTAAATGCCTTGACAAGTTATAGAGACTTACGATAAATATCCTCCTACATACAGTGCTCAGTGGGAGAAAGATATTTGGGACATGTTATACCATATAATCTTACTGAACATTCTACCCAGCACTCATGAATAAAAGTTTCTTCCTATATATCCTTGGATCTAATACTGATGATCCTTGGATTAAAAGCTGATGATCTTTAGATTTAATACTGATAATCCTTGGATTAAAAGCTGATGATCTTTAGATTTAATACTGATAATCCTTGGATTTAATACTGATGATCCTTGGATTTAATATTATGGATCCCTGTATCAAAAGCTGATGATCCCTGGATTTTGTTTGATTGATCCCAGCATCAAGGACTGATGATAACTGCATGGATCTAAAGCTGATGATCCTTTGGGTTGAATTGATTACTGATAATCCCTGGATGTAATACTGATGATCCCTGGATTTAATATCGATGATCCCTGGATTTAATACTGATGATGATATTATTCACAGGATGGCCCCAGAGGTGGCTGCAGTGGAGAGGAAGGGGGGATATAATCAGCAGTGTGATATATGGGCCGTGGGAATCACAGCTATAGAGTTTGCCGAATTACAGCCCCCAATGTTTGATCTTCATCCCATGAGGTAGGGTGTTCAGAAGAATTTTTAAAATTGTTTCTGATCTACAGTTTTGCATGCAATCATAAAAATGCTTTCAGTGTACTTTTATCCAGAAATTGCAGTTTTACTTGGTAATATATTATCATATTTGTAATGGGAGAGGGGAGAAAAAGGAAGAGAATAGGACAAGTAGTTGTACTTCATTTTTACATGTTTTTTTTATTTTTTGTAGGGCTTTATTTTTGATGTCCAAAAGTGGATTCAAGCCACCACAGTTAAAGGACAAAAACAAATGGTTAAGTAGCTTGTACATTTTTATTAGTTATTTTATATTGAAACCATTTGCCTGTAGTTTAAACTCCAATATTTTGGATACTGTTGAGATAAAATAAATTTGACATTAAATAGTGCTGATAATTCATTCAGTTTTTGAGAGAGTTATCTTTCTTGACAAAATGAAATTGCAAGTAATTCTTTTCTCTAATATGATATGCTAAATTCTATGAAAAATTTTGTACATAATTTATTTATATTTTATAAAATTGTATGGCTTTGTGAGCTCACTTACAGTACATCTTGTGTATGTGGTTCAAAGGAAATGGTTCAAATTAACAGTTTCCAGAGGAATCAAATTGAATAGTTTTGTTATTGCATAATTTATGTTAGCACTAATATTGAGTGTAATCAATATTACAGATTGTTATAAATTAAGGTGAAAATAATACTTGTAATATGATATATTTTTTTAAATTAAGGTCCCAGATATTCCAACATTTTATCAAAGTCGCACTCACAAAAAATCCCAAGAAGAGGCCCACGGCTGAAAAGCTTTTAGAGGTGCGTTAAAGAAAATCAAACCACAAACTTAATTGTATTTCATAATAATTAATTAAACATCATCTTTTTATAAAGGTCAGACATTACACAGAAACAATATATTTTTTAGCATCCATTTGTACAAA